ACCGGTCAGCCTTACAGATCAGATTACGGTAATACAAATCTTTAATCCCAGTAGCCACCCTAGTTGCTATAGAAATCAGGTGGTGCATGCCTTTAATCCCAGTGGTGCATGCATGCCTTTGCTCCCAACCCTAGAAAGGAGTATAAGATGGGGGTGAGACAGCTTCTCAGACGCAGTCTCCTTCTGAGACTCTAGGAGGCAGGATCGCCATTTTGGACTGAGGTTGAGGTAAGAGCCAGTGGCTGGCTGTTTTGCTTTTCAGATCTTCAGGTTGACCCAGTTTCTGACCCTTTGCTTCACTCATGAACTGCCATGATCTTCGACTGGGTCTGCCAGCCCTTTCTTAGAAAGGCATAACTGTTTCCTTTTCTTTTTCTTTCAGATTCTGGCCAGAGCCCAAGTATGCTTTTAAACTCTAACTCATGCTTTGGGCCTCCTTGCTCTTTCTAAAGCTCTCTTCCCGGCTGTGTGGCTGCCTGCTGCCAGGTGGCTGACCTCTCTTCTACCCTCTCTGAGACACATGGCTTTTGTTTCTTCTGGTCTCCATTTCTCCCCCTGCTTTCATGGCAGATACAAGATTTATAGCTTGCCTGCCCTGAGGGTTTTCTTTTTAAACTGTAATATTGTCCTCAAGATTCTGTTTGTGTCTGCTGTTTGCCTTTGAGCTTCCCTTTGTGTCCTTTCTTAAGTTCTTTTATTAATAAGATCAAGAACCCAAAGAGGGGATCCTGATTTCCCTGGTATTATGATGGCTGCACTGGACCTTCCCAAGATTTCTGTTAACACTTCTTTCTGGCCTTTTAATTCTTTAATCATTGGCACCCTCGAAAGTGTCAAGAGCAGCCTTTGTCTATGGGTGTAAACATAAGTATCTAAAAGACACTTTGTGTATGGGTGTAAACTTAGATTTCTAGAAGGCACTTGATGCTTTCCAGTTTAGCTAAGCAGTAGTGTAGTCTTAGGTCTTAGGGCTCAAGACCTCCTCAGTCAGAGTTTTTGCCCAGGTTTATTGTATTAGTACAATACTAAGCATGGCTATCTTCTTATGAAACAGGCCTCACATCCGGTCAGAGAATGTTTGTTACATCCATTGCAGCTGTGCCACTATTGCACTACTGGGCACATCTAGCCTAACTAGTTGGTATTGTAGTTCCCAGCACTTGGAAAGCAGAGGCAGGCGGCTCGCTGTGAGTTTGAGGCCAGTCTGATCTACAGAGCAAATTCCAAGACAGCCAGGACTACATAGAGAAATGCTGCTTTGAAAAGCAAAAACAAATAAAAGATTGTTGATATCTTTACTCTCCCAGTAGCCAGTCAACTTTGATTATTGCTTTGTTTATAGCAATGATCATCTTCCTGATTCAACTTCCTTTTTTTTCTTTTGAGACAGTCTCAGCATCTGAGCGTTTCACTGTGTAGCCCTGAAAGTAGACGTATCTACCTGCCTTTGCCTGTGAGTGTTGAGATTATAGGTGTGGGCCCACCACTCCTAGTTCAGTTTTTGTTTTTGTTTTTTGTTTTTTTTTCTGATCAAATGAAAAGCATTTGTTAGTTTTGTAGGTTAGTTTAGATTGAACAACCATGTTGGGTTTTTTTTTCATTTTTTTAATTGATATTTATTGAGCTCTACATTTTTTCTCTGCTATCCTCCCTGGCTCCCCCCCCCCAGGTCCCCATGCTCCCAGTTTACTCAGGAGATTTTGTCTTTTTCTACTTTCTATTTCTCATGTAGATTAGATCTATGTAAGTCTCTCTTTGTGGCCTCATTGTTGTCTAAGTTCTTTGGGATTTTGGTTAGTAGGCTGGCTTTCTTTGCTTTATTTTTAAAAACCACCTATGAGTGAGTACATGTGATAGTTGTCTTTCTGTGTCTGGGTTACCTCACTCAAAATAATATTTTCTAGCTCCATCCATTTTCCTGCAAAATTTAAGCTGTCGTTATTTTTTTCTGCTGTGTAGTACTCCATTGTGTAAATGTACCACATTTTCCTTATCCATTCTTCAGTCGAGGGGCATTTAGGTTGTTTTCAGGTTTTGGCTATGACAAATAAACCTAGCTCAACTTTTATTCTTGAAATTGAGATTAAAATTTTAAATTATAATATGTATGGTCCTTGCCTTTAATTTTTATTTTATTTTATGGTACTAGAGATTGAAGTCAGGGCTTCACATATTTTACGCACGTGATCTACAATTAATCTTTATTATCCTGCCATTCATTAACTTCTATACTTTATCTTAACAAGAGAATAATAAGTGATAATTAAAATCTTTAAGATTTATTTTACATATATGAGCATTTGCTTGCACGTATGTCTGTATATTATGGGCATGCATGGAGCTTTCAGATACCAGAAGAAGGCCTTTAATCCCCTGGAACTATAATTAGAGATGGTTGTGAACTGCTATTTGGGTTCTGGGTACTGAACCTGCATCCTCTACAAGAGCAACAAACACTTTTTTTTTTTTTTTTTTTTGAGACAGGATTTCTCTCTATAACAGTCCTGTCTGTCCACAACTTGCTTTGTAGACCAGGCTGACCTGAACTCACAGAGATCCACTTGCCTCTGTCTCCCAAGTACTGGGATTAAAGGTGTGCACCACCACTGCCTGGCGCAACAAACACTCTTAACTCTGAGTCATGCATCTCTCCAGCTCTGTTATACATTTTCTGAAGCCTCCTTTCTCCTCTCACAGGATTTTAAAGCTTTATTTTATGGGTATGGTTGTTTTATCTACATTTCTATATAATGTACCTGTGTGTGCATGGTACTTGGGGTTTAAAAGAGAGCATTGATCCCCTTGATGAACTAGTTGTGAGCCACCATGTGGCTACTGGGAATCAAATCCAGGTCCTCTGCAAGAGCAGTCAGTCAGTGCTCTTAATCTCTGGGCTGCTCTCCAGCCCAAATTTGTAATTTTTAAACATTTGTTATTATTGTGCATATATCCATGCTGTATATATGAGTGTTTCTGCAATGGCATGGTTTTGAAGAGCACCTTTGAGTATCATTTTTCTCCTGCCTTTACACCAGTTTTGGAGACTCAGACTCGGGCCACCAGGCTTCTATGGCAAACACCTTTACCTGTGGAACCATGTTGTTAGTCTGAAGTGACAATTTTTTAAAATTTTATATTCAGGTTGGGGAGACTATCTAAACCTACTAACATGAGCATTGTAGAGTGTAAAATTGTAGAGTGTATAAAACTTCTCTGGGTGGTGGGGACAATGACAACTGCCCCCTCAGTCAGGTCTGCCGTGCTACTGCATGCTTCTATTCTGTCACTTCTAACACTGTAAGAAACATCAATTCGTTTGGGTGACATAGTTTACAGAAGCAGAATAGTAGATGTAGACTCCATTTGTGAGCTAAAAAAAAAAATTTGGTTTCTTAGCTGTAGAATCTGGTTTATTGTCATACAGGTTCTCTAGCCACCAACTCTTGTGAGCTCATTCTCTGACAGTGGCAGCACAGAGCTGTTCTGCTGGTGGCTCATCTGGGAGCTAATCATTCTCTGCTTGGCTTTTGATGCCTGGCAATAATGTGCCTTAATTGCAGGTCACTGGAGCTAAACTAATTGCTTGTTGGGCACTTAGATCGCCTTTTTAATTTGCTGCATAATGCCTCTTCTAACAGAAGCACACAATATATTGTTATTCAAGTAGAACTCATTAGTATCTTCCTAGACACAACAGAAAGCCTGATTTTGTTCATAATTTAGCTACTGAAACAAAATGGGAAGACATTGTAGACAGATGTAATTAACGAGTACCGGTTTTTTAAAGTGCTCCTTTGTATCCACTTCAGGAACTAGACATAAAATGCTTGCTGTGCTTTATATCTGTGTAATAGCCGTGTGTGGGGTCTGTGTACTCATGTGTATGAGGGGTGGACTGTGTGGCCAGGTGGGTGGGTACACTTGTGTACATGTGGGGGCCAGAGATCGTTATTGGGTGCCCTCCTTTGTCACTCTCCACTGGGTCCCCTTGAGACAGGCCCTCCTGTTGGAACCAGCAAGCCCCAGTGCTCCCCTACCCTCATGGTGCTTGTGTGATGGGTGTGTGCAGCCACAGTTGGCTGTATCCATGGATGCTGGGGATCTGAACTTAGGCTCACAGGCTTTCAGAGCAAATATTCTTACCCATTGAGCCATCTCCCCAGCCCCATCATAACCTTCTTTATTAAGGATTGTTTTGTTTTGTGCTTCAGATATGTTTTATATGGCAATAATAATATGAACATTTGAGACAGTCTTATTTCAGTCTGTGGGATTTACCCTACATCCAGTGACTTTGTATTTCATTAAAGAAATAAAAATAAATCAATGTCATCCTTCCTTCACAAATATGACCAAATAGGGACCTTTTCATATGCTGAGTAAAAAACTCACACTTGTTTTCTTGTCATTTCCCTGGACTGTCTAGTAGGACAGTTCTCCGCACAAGGTTTTCAGCTTTTCAGTAACAATTTCATGAATCTAGTTGGTATATTTTAGAAACAACAGAATGCCTGGAACTGTTGTAGGTGTTGGAGATACCACAATTTGTATTTTTATCTTTATGATAAATATTTAGCTCAAAAGAAAAAAAAACCCTCTGAAGTAAATTTTAAGAATCCTAATTTTTAGAATAGTGTAAGTGTATTTGTTACTTTTTTATTGATGTAACAAAATCACCATGACCTAGGCAACTTACAGAAGAAAGCATTTAGTTGGGCTAATGGTTTCAGAGGCTTGAGTTTATGATGGCAGAACAAAGGAGGCCTGGTAGCAGAAATGTGCACATAGGGAGTTGAGAGAGTGCACTGGTGATGGCAGAACTTTTCCACACATCCTCCAACATTTCCCCCTGCTGAGGACTGCATAATCAAACCAGGGCCCATGGCGGCCATCCTCAGCCAAACCACCACAGTAACAAGTAGCATCTGCTGCAATTTTAATAGATACTTTTTTTTTCTTAAAGAAATTAGTTTGTTACCTGTTTGTTTTTCTTTTGGTAGGTTATTTCTTATGAGGGTCATGGATATTCCCTATTTAAACCTGGAAGGGCCAGACTGTAAGTACATTGATTTCCTCATTGCATTTGTAGTTACCAGAGTGTGGCCTGAAAGGGACACCAGGGAAATGGTGCTGACAAGAGAACTTTTTCCTTAAGAATGGGCAGTGGTTTGTGGTTGGCAAAGGTTGCATACTTAAAAGTTCATGAGACCCTTGTTTCATGTTGTGACTTGCATTTTTCAGGCTATAGAAGTATATCTCATATATTCATAGTTTTATCCCACCCCCAAGCTGAATCATTTCCAATACATATTTAAAAAATAAGTTGAGCAAGCTGGAAACATCACCATTAGACCATGTTGTGGGGCCTTCCTGTGGATGTGTGTGACAAGCAAACATACAAGAACTCAGCCCAGGAAGTACCAATACCCGACGTTGAAGCTTGAGGTAGACTAGGGTAGCAGTGTTACACCTTTCTTCATGCTGGCTGTTTCTTGACACTCTGCTGCCTGGTTCAATTTAATGCCCATTGACATCAGGACCCAGTGCAGCCCCTACCTACTCCAGGGCAGCACACGCTTGTCTATACAGCAGACCAATATGATGGCTCCTGGCTATGGCTGGCAGCTCTGCAGGACTTGGGGAGCAAAGTCATAAAGTCAGTGGGCTCTTGTTGCAGTTTTGTACTCTATTTTTTTTTCAATTGAGCTATGACTTTTTTAAAACATGACTTGAAGCTCTAGTTTTCTAGATCTTTCACAGTGTATATAACTGAGCTGTATTAAAAGCTTTATTAATATAAAAAAGTAAAAAAAATGCTATCTATGTCAGTAATTTGTTCAATTTTCTATTTTCTAGTTACTTATGCATCTATTTAAATTTAGTAAGTTGATTTTTTTTTAATTGCTGTCAATCAAATTGTTATGGGTTACCTGATATATAAGAACACTCTGCTGATGCCCGGGGTGGCCATGCCCACCTGGAGTCCCAGCACTCAGGCACAGAGGTAGGACTGCAGTGTCTTTGTGGCAGTCGTGTCTACATAGTGTGGACTAGTTTAAAGAATCTGTGCTTGCCAAGTGTGGTAATGCACACTTATAACCCTAACATTCTGTGGGCTGAGGTAACCAAAGGAATCAGTGACTTGCCTTGATCCCTTGCCAGGAGCCAACCTTGATTGTTGTTCCTTAGGAGCTGTCTACCTTGTTTTTTGAGATCCAGTGTCTACCTGAAGCTCACTGTTTAGACTAGACTATTGACCAGAGGGTCCCAGGGATGGATCCTTTTGTTTACCCCTTCACAGTACTGGCATTTGGAGTACATTCCTCCATGTCCACTTTTTATAGGGTCTGCTCTCAGCTGTGTGACAGCGTCTCTCTAACTGGGCTGTCTCCCTGGTCTGCTCTCAGCTGTGTGGCAGTGTCTCTATAACTGGCTATCTCCCTGGCCAGTTCTTGGGTCACTTATCCACTGTCATTCTTTTGTCACTTTTGTCTCGTAGTGCAGCCTAAACGCGACCATGTTCTCCACGTGACGTTCCCCAAAGAGTGGAAGACAAGTGACCTTTACCAACTCTTCAGCGCCTTTGGTGAGCCGGAAAGTTGTGGCGGCTGCTTTAAGGGTTGCCTTTCTGGTGGTTAGTTGGTCAGAAGGAGATCATGGAAAAGATCTCTAAGTCCATGACAGGGTTAATTTCAGCCACAGAACTGTTCTGTTGTAATGGGATCTGAGGTGCATTGTGTAAGCCTTGCTGACAGAGTATATGGACCATCACTGAGGACTGCCCTTACTGCTGATGAGGAAAATAAGCCTAGATCAGGGTAAATAATTTTTAAGGTTAAATTCAGAGAGAATGTCTGTTTTACACTGACAAGCAATCTCTATGTGAGATTTACAATAAAAGCAGCAAACACAGATGTCTGAGCAGACCAAGACTCCAGGTGTGTGTAAAGCAGACAGTTCCTCTCATTCTCAGGTTAAACTTCTCAGGGTCTGTGAATGTACAAGTTTGTTACTTTAACAAATGAAGTATTGGGGCTGGAGAGATGGCTCAGTGGTTAAGAGCATTGCCTGCTCTTCCAAAGGTCCTGAGTTCAATTCCCGGCAACCACATGGTGGCTCATAACCATCTGTAATGAGGTCTGGTGTCCTCTTCTGGCCTGCAGACATACACACAGACAGAATATTGTATACATAATAAATAAATAAATAATTTTCTTCTTTAAAAAAAAATGAAGTATTGAAGCTATTTATTCTCTTTGGGGATTCTTGAATAAAGTGAAGGCAGAAAACTGGCCAGTAGTAGGATGCTTAGTAATACTTGTATATCATCAAAGGATTTACTGTGCAGACATTTAAGAAAATATTCATAGGCTAATGAGATGGCTCAGTGTTTGTTGTGCAAGTTTAGTGATCTGAGTTCAATACCTGGAGCCCACATAAAAGTGGAGGAGAGACTGAGTTTGAGGCCAGCTTGGTCTACAAGAACTAGTTCCAGGATAGGCTCCAAAGCAAAAAGAGAAAGGAAGGAAGAGAGGGAGGGAGAGAAGGGGGGAGGAAGGAAGGGAGGGAGGGAGGAAGGAAGGAAGGAAGGAAGGAAGAAAGGAAGGAAGGAAGGAAGGAAGGAAGGAAGGAAGGAAGGAAGGAAGGAAGGAAAAAGAAAGGGAGAGAAGTGGAGGAGAGACCCAGTTCCACTAAGTTGTCTCTGACATTCAAATGCACGCTATGACTTCTTAGCCAGGGTCTTAGTTGCTTAGTTGTCTTAGTCAGGGTCTCTATTGCTGCAGGGGAACACTGTGACCAAAAAACAAGTTAGGGAGGAAAGGGTTTATTTAGCTTACACTTCAACAACTATCACCGAAGGAAGTTGGAGCAGGAACCTGGAGGCAGGAGCTGATGCAGAAGCCATGGAGGGGAGTTGCTTACTGATTTGCTCCCCATTGCTTGTTCAGTCTGCTTTATTATAGCCTCAGGATCAGCAGACAGGGATGGTCTCACACACACACAGTGAGCTGGTTATACCCTCATCAATCCCTAATTAAGAAAACGCCTACAGGATGCATACAGCCGATGTTATGGAGGCATTTTTCTTAATTGAGGTCCCTTCTCTCAGATGACTTAAACTTGTGTTGACACAAAACCATCGAGCACAGTAATGAATAAAATAATATGCTTGAAGTGTATATGCAGAGGTGAAAATATTTAAGTAGTATTTTAATACTTAGATTTAAAAGAGGATATGGGATAGGATCCTGTATAACTAATATTATTTTTAAAGACATTGTAGAGAAGTCAGATGCAAGTAAAGGAAGATACATTCAACATTTACCACTGAGTATTTTATTATTCTTTATTAAGAAAAATCTGTATTTTTTTTCTTTTTTTGGTCTGCATTTCGGTATTAGCACCATGTGTGTGCAGTGTCTGGAGGTCAGAAGAAGGCATCGGATCCCCGATACTGCAGTTATAGTCAGTTGTGAGTCTCCATGTGGGTGCTGGGAATTGAATCCAGGTCCTTTGAAAGAGCAGTCACGTGCTCTTAACAGCTGAGCTGTTTCTCCAACCACATCACTAAGTATTTTTCAGATGGTATTTATGTTTTGTAAGCTTTCCTGTCTTTTCAGAAATGAGCACACATTACCTTTTAAGTTAAAAACAAACCCAGAATACTTTATTTGAAAGCAGTTATATTTCTATAAAGTCCTCTTGCTGGTGCCCTCTGCCCTTTGAAATCCTACCCCACTTTTTAATTTAGCTGCACAGAAAGACAGTGACCTCAGGCTCAGCTCTTTTTGAAGTGCCTGCTATTTTCATCTGTTTAAGTTCTGACCCTATGAAGTCAGACTTTAAGCACTAAAGTAAGTAAAAAGTCTAAAACCTAGTGTGAAACTCCACAGCTCTAAAATGACTTTTCTAACTGTCTAGAAGTTCATTGAGGGGCAGGTGTGGTGGGGCAGAGGCAGGCGATCTCTGAATTCCATGTCAGCCTGGTGTACAGAGCAAGCTCCAGGACAGCCAGGACTAGATAGAGAAAACACGTCTAAAAAACGGCCATTGAGAGGTATGGACTTTGGATCTAGTTCATTTTAGTGTGTGATTTTTTTTTTCCAAAATTGTTTACAATAAAGTTTTAATAAGTAAAAAGTTAACTGTGTGATCTTGGGCAAGTGTTCTCTCATTAGTAGCAACAACAATTGTACTAGCGATAACACCGACTTTGTGGCCTTCACATGACTCTAGGATGAGGAGCTGGCCCTGGAAGGTGTTCAGCAGCTGACTAGTGCTGTCTGTCTTATCCACTGGGCAGAGAGGTGTGTCATCTTACTGAGAAACTGAAGTGGGGGTTTTTGTATTGTTTTCTTTTCCACTTTGATAGTGAAACTAAACAGTTTTTTTTTTTTAATTCCCAGCCGTTAAAAGTCTAAGTAGAATGAATTTTATTTTATTGCTAAATTCCAGTGCTGTTTACCCATTGTTAAAGTCTGGTGCTCTGTGTATCCCCAAGTGATGCAGAGGTGCGAGTTTCCATCTTCTCCACAGGCTCCCTTTCCGCTCATACTGTTTGCCTCAGTGTAGTACTTTTGCTGCTGTTTCTCCCTGTCAGCCTGTCTTGGTTTTTCTCTCTCTGAACCCTTAATTTTTAAATTACAGGCAAGCATGTGTGCATGTTACATGTGATTGATTGCATGTGGAAGTCAGGACAGCTTGTAGGAGTCAGCTCTCTCCTCCCACCATATGGATTTTGGTAATGGTCAAGCTTGACGGCAGGCTCCTTTATCCACCGAGCCATCTCAATAGGATCAGTTTTGCTCAGAACTTTTTCTAGTAGTTTGGAATCACAACCTCTTGCTGTCAGGGTCCCCAGAGCATCTTGGAATGAGAGAGGAACACAGGTCCTTGCACATGTATGTCAGGCACCCCTCTTTTTGTCAGCCCCCAGTACTCCCAAGAGAGGCACCGCCCTGCATGAGCTCCCTTGTCCTGTCACTCCCCAAGGCTCCACTGCTAAGTATTATGAGTCCCAATGCCTGAGTACCTGATAATGGAGATTAAGTGTCATCATGGGGCAGGGACAGAAATATTCAAACTGTAGCAGTCTGTAAAATGAAGTATCTGTAACAAGTTTGATTGTAGGTGGTCTTGGAGTTTTGTTAGTGACCTTGAAAGATAAACAACTTCTAACCTTGGCCAAAGATTGGACAGAATTGTGATAAGTCCTTGTAGCTAAGTTTTCTTTATTTCTTTTTTAACTTTTAAAGTTTATTATCACTGTTTTGTGTGTGTACCTGTGTGTGACTGTGAAGTCCAGAGCTTCATGTCTGATACCTTCCTCAATTAAATTTCTACTTTACTATCTTTCCAAAATTCAAAAATTGTATTTGTTTATTGTGTGTGAAGACACACATGCCATAGCATGGTGTAAAGGCCAGATGGCAGCTTATAAGAGTTGGTTCTCTTCTGTCATGTGGGTCCCAGGGATCCAGCTGAAGCAGTCAGTCTTGGCAACAAGTGTATTCACCCACTGAGTCCTCTCACTGGTCCTCTCCACCTTAGTTCTTTGATGCAGGGTCTTTCACTGAACCCAAACCTCACCAATTTTGCCATACTTGCTGGTCCAAGAGTTCCAGGGGTTTGCCCATCTCCACCTCTCCAGCACAGGGCACACAGGCCCACTCAACTGTGCTCGCCTTTTTATAGGGCTGCCAGGATCAAACTGAGGTCTTTATACTTTGCAAGGTGTGTGTGTGTGCACGCACGCAGATATATGCACCACACACACCACTGGGGAGACCAGTGGAGGAAGCCGAACATCCTGCTGTGACTCAGGGTCTCTCACTGAACGTGAAGCTGTCTTAGACTAGCTTACCAATGGGCTTCTGAGATCCTGTCTCCAGCCCCCAATGCTGGAGTTACAGGCGTTGGTTTTTTTGTGTGTGGGTGGTAGAGGTTTGAACTTAGGAGTTCGTGATAGCCCAGCAAGTGCTCTTATGTACTAAGACATCTCCTACACTCTCTTGAAACTAACAGAACAAGTAGTAGATTGATTAGTGCTAAGGTTTCCAGTCTCACAGCAGGACGTCATCTCTCTAGAAGCTCCTGAAGTCTGCCCGCTGAGTCTGTGGTGTGGTTCTCTAAATGCTCAGACGCTCACTTTGTTTTTCATTCATTGTTAACAGGTAACATTCAGATATCCTGGATTGATGACACATCAGCCTTCGTTTCTCTCAGCCAGCCCGAACAAGTCCAGATTGGTTAGTGTCCTAGATGTCTGTTGTGTGTTAGTGAGGTGGGGGTTCTCCTTCAGTTAGTGTCCTAGATGTCTGTTCTGTGTGTTAGTGAGGTGGGGGTTCTCCTTCAGTGTGAAAGATGCGACACAGCCAGCTGATTCCCTGGCATTGCTGCTCAGAAAAAATTAGTAAGTAAATCATACAGAGGAGAAGGATCTTTGATTCGTTATTCTAAAGATACTTAAACTGTGCCTCAAGACCCCATGTAGTTACATGTGACTAAATGTCAGGTTTGAAAATTTGGCCATAGAGAAAGGTTTCTGAGCATGCAGTGACCAAACAGCGTAAAATCAAATGCTAGTAAACTGTAGGCAGTGCTTGTCCGTGGTCTCACTCCAGCCTTCATTCCGAGCACACAGCATGTGTGTTTGATGCTGCGCACGTCCTCCCGTGATGCAGTACCCCCGCCAGCTGCTGAAACACCTCAGATTTCCCATTAGCATATGTTCTGATTGCAGTGTTTTAATGGACTGCTTTCTGTTCAGACGCAGAGTGGTTCAATTATGGGAACTGAGGAGGTCACATGTTTTCTACTGTTATTTCTCAGCATTCATCAAATCAATCATTGCAACTTTGGGTTGTATTGTATTAGACAAGCACATTCATCTCATCAGTATATAAATTGCTTTTGTCTTAACAAATAACAAAATTATATATACACACACACACACCAAAATGGGTTTTGTTGTTGTATGTTTTGTTTTATTTTGTTTTTTAAGAGACATAGAGTTTCACTATATAGACCAGGCCGGCATTGAACTCACAGAGATCTACCTGCTGCTGTGGGATAACCCTTAGGTATGCTGCATTGCTCTCATTGAATGATAATGAAAGCTGAATTGGGCAATAGCCAGGCAGAATACAGTTAGATGTGAAAGCCAAACTGCATACAAGGAGAAAGAAGGACAGAGTCTGGAGAGATGCAAGCAAGCCACTGAAGAAGCAAGATACCAGCAGACTGGTAAAAGCCATGCCCACATGACAATACATAGCTTACTAGAAATGGCTTAATTTAAATGTAAGAGCTAGCTAGTAATAAGCCTGAACTATCAACCAAACATTTTATAATTAATATTAAACCTCTGAGTGATTTTTTAGAAGTGACTGTGGGATGGGGTGGGGTAGAGAAACCTCCCATTCAGCCTGCCTCTGCTTCCCAAGTGCTAGGATTAAAGGTGTGCACAATCACATCCGGCTATCCAAAATTATTTTAATTTAGCTTTTTAATGACTTATTATCAGTAAATGTTTGATTAGTCTACTTATTTAAAATTTTTAGTATTTTATTTGTATGGGTGTTTTGCTGGCATGTATTTCTGTTCACCACATGCATGCCTTATGTCTGTGGAGGTCAGAAGAGGACGTTGAATCCCATGGAACTGGAGCTGGATCCCTGAAGCAGTAGCTTTTTGCATTGTTCTGTTTTCAGACAGGGTTTCTCTGTCTAGCCCTGGCTGTCCTGCTCTGAGCCACCATGTGGGTACTGAGAATGAAGCCCAGAAGAGCAGCGTGCTTTTTAACCACTTATTCATCTCTCCAACTCATCTATTCTGCATATTTGTGTGTCCTGGTTCATGTGGTTTCTCTTGTCCTTTTCTTGTTTGTCTGTGATTAGCTGTGATTTCTCCATACCCTTAAACTTGCATCAAATGTTTGTTTTACAAGCAAAGTGAATGACACTTCATTTGCTTTTAAATAGGGTTCTGAAAAGATGGATCATCACATTTTTTATTGATCCTTAAAATTTTTGACATTAATTATACTACCTTTTTCTTTAACATTTGTTTGTTCAATTTTTTTTCTTTTCTTTCTCTTTATATATATATGTGAGTATTTTGTCTGCTTGTTTGTCTGTGTACCACATATGGGCCTTAGTGCCTTTGCAGGCCAGAAGACAGCATCGAGTTCCCTGGGATTGGAGTTTGACGTATTTGTGAGCCACATGCAGGTGTTGAGCGTTGAGCCTGTGTCAGGTGCTCTGTTCCTCCCATAGAAGACGGTGTGCTCCGAGACTGAGAATTTACCCGTGGACCCCCAGGGGCCACTGTGTTTACAGTGGCTGTCTGAGTCTGGTCAATATCATGGGGTTGGAGTCACAATACACATCCTGTCATGAACCGGAGATACCTTTTGTACTTGATAGATCTCATGTCTGTTTCTCTTTCTGATTTCTAAATCTGTGAATGCTGCTTTAAAAGACAATTTGAAGTTTACTTCTTGTAGTAATGATTCTAATGATGCCAGGGATCTGGGTTATCTAAATGTGCTACAAATTCTATTAATGCTACCTTAAATAAATTATACAAGCATTTCAGCAGAAATAGAGGGGATCCTGCAGATCAATAATGTAACAATGAAAAAAATCATTAAATGTTTACTTATATAGGCTCTGATACAAATTATTTTTGATTTACATTCAAAGAGTAAGCTGACAACTGTCTTTTTCCTCTGGTATCACTGATTCTCATCAGTGTTTGAAAAGTCTTTTTTGACCTCTTGAAAATGAAAGTTCTTTTCTTACAGGAAACTGTATACTAATTATTAAAATGGTGTGTGTGTGTGTGTGTGTGTGTGTGTGTGTGTGTGCCCGAGCACACACTATGCCCATGGTGTGGAGATCCATGTTGGTGCCTTCCTAGTCTGTTTTCTACTTCTTTTTTTTTAAATATTTATTATTTATTATGTATACAATATTTGTCTACATGTATTCCTGCAGGCCAGAAGAGGGCACCAGACCTCATTACAGATGGTTATGAGCCACCATGTGGTTGTTGGGAATGAACTCAGGACCTTTGGAAGAGCAGGCAGTGCTCTTAACTGCTGAGCCATCTCTCCAGCCCTGCTTTCCACTTTTCATGTTTTGATGGTGTCATTTTCACTGAACTTGGACCTTACTGACTTGGCTAGGCTGGCCACCCAGTGAGCTCTAGGGATCCTCTTGACTCTAGGATTAGTGCTAAGCATGCACACCACATCTCATTTTATAGGTGCTGGGCACTGGACCCTGAGTTTCCCCAACAGAGCCATGCCCCAGTGAGTTTTTCACAAGTTTGACTGTTTCTGCACTTAGCCATGGCTTATTTTAATTTGTGTATACCATGGGTGGAGCCCCAGTGCTTCTGACATGCACGATTGAGGTATACTTCTAGTTCCTTCTCTGTATTATTCTGTCTGAACTGGCAGCATTTAATATATGTCTTTCACCAGATTTGGAAAAATTTCAGATATTTGTTTTCATATTCTCTTGGGATTCCTACTGCACACAAGACATCGTGTGCTCTGTTTGGCTCTTATTGGCTTTTTTTCTCATACCATCTTTCTGTTGTGCAGACTAGATAATTTATTTCTGGATCTCTGCTGTGTGACTCATTACTCCTTGACCATTATTCTTCTAATGAGCCAGCCTAATGGATCTTTTATCTTGTACATTGGTACTGCTCATCCTGCAGTAAGGTGACTTCCTGATAAGCCCCTGTGAATAAAAATGCTATTAAGCAGAACATGTATGTAGTATGCCTGTTTAATGTCATTGTTTAACCTCATCTATCTTAAGTTTACCCAGAATATGGTTGGGTAGAATAATTTAATACAGACTATTTAATGACAAAATACAGTTCTTAAATACTGTATCAAAAATGGAAAGCACAGTTTATACCATGTACATCTATAATGGGTCTTCTTGTCCTGGTCTTTGTTGAGGCAGTTTGGAATTGTTTCTTATGTGTTGTGAATGTTCTCTTGTAGAGTCTCTGGATTTGGATATATTCCTCAGAAGGGTGTTTTGTTTCAGTTTCACAGATATTCATCTTATTTGGACTTGTGGGTGATGTTTAGATCGGAGCTCAGACTTCCAGTTTGCTGCACTAGTGGTTAGGAGTCAGAGAGCAGATGACTCCTTGGGTAAAAGCTCTCGTATTGCTGTCTTGATGACCTGGGTTCAGATGTGGTTGTCCTTAGACCTCCCCCTGTGCACACTCTTATAAACATATGTGCACACATACACAAAGATATAAACAGATGTATGTTAAACACAAAACGATCAGACATTGGCCAAATCTGTTCAGCACTCGTCTTTACCTGGCTTCCGTTCTGCTAGTTTTCCTGTCTCACTCTAGTTGCTCGTGACCCCGGCCTTTTCCTTTCCTTCCTCATAGCAGAAAGATGTGAGACTCATAAAAAATCTTTTTGGTTATATGGGCATGTTATCCCAGGCCTTTAATTCCAGCATACAGGGAACAGAGGCAGGCAGATTTCTGTGTGTTTGAAGCCAGCCAGTAATACATAGTAAGATCCTGTCTCAAAAAAAAAAAAAAGAAAAGAAAAGAAAAAGAAAAGAAAAAAGGTCCTGCAGGACCCAAGCACCAGCCACTTTAATGACATGGCAAAGTCTCTCTAGTGCACAGGTGTGCATGTGTGCGCATACAACCCCCCCCCCACTCTCTTTCTCTCTCTCTTTCTGACCCCGTGTTCATCCACCAACTGTTTGACATCTTCCACTCTTCCTATTCAGAGCACTTCCTCCTACTCTTCAGACTCTGCATTTCCTGCAGCTGGCAGGTGTTGCAGTGGGGGATCATTCTATTAGATTCTTGCTTGACCAGAGCCAGCATGCCCTTTCCTGCTTTTGATCACTGTGCTTCTAGCACTTGCCTTTAATTCTGTCTCAGCTATACCATTTGTCATGTATAAATTGCCTCTTGTTTAATAGTACTTTATAAATATATTAAAATGTTAAAAAACTAACTCAAGCATACCACAAGCACATGTGCTCAACTATGTTCATAGCAGCTTTGGTTGTCATAGCCAGAACCTGGAAACAACCTAAATACCCCTCGACCGAAGAATGGATAAGGAAAATGTGGTACATTTACACAATGGAGTACTACACAGAAGAAAAAATAATGACAGCTTGAATTTTGCAGGAAAATGGATGGAACTAGAAAACATTATTTTGAATGAGGTAAC